TTTTCGTTTATTTCCACCAAAATGACATCAACATTGAACGACAATTCGATAGGTGGAGTAGGTTGAAATAGCGGATTTTTGGGGATGTTTTTTTTTTTTTTGTTTTACTTCAAACCAACCAAACCAATCATTCAATCATTCATTGATTGTGAATAATAAAAAACAAGAGAAAAATTTGAAAGTTTTTTAACCCATGTGTGTGTGTGCGTTGTGTTATGTCAATACCAAATGTTCCATTATCATCCACACACAAAAAACTCCCTTTAAAGTTATATAGATTGGGTTGGTCTTTGTGTGTGTGTGTGATATTTTTGTTTCTTCGGTTTTGTTTTTTTTTGATTGATTGATATGCATCATTGGATTGTTGTTGTTTTCCAACCAACAAAACTTTTTTAACATGGTAAACACTTGAAAAAAAATGTTGATTTTGTGGATAATGTTTTTGTTTGTGAAAGATGGATGTGTGGAAATAGAAAAAAACAAACCACAGATAAATATTTGTTTGTTTGTTTGTTTTCAATCATAATCAAAGTGAAAAAATAGGAATCCATTCAATCCAATGAATGTGATTATCTTAATCCTACATTTAGTTCATGCTGTTTATGTCGGCTTGTCTTTGGGTGATTGATGTGCCTGGTTCGTTTTACTTGTGTAAAATACATCAAAAACAAAGGAAGGAAACCGAAAAAAAAGATGCGCAAAGGCTTTACTTTTTTCTCTTTCTCCCCCTCTCTAGCTATCTATCCATCCATCCTGGAATCTGATTTAATTAACCAACCAACCAAAATGTACGTCGTTCATTCAAATCAAGAATTCATGGAAAAAAAATGTTGATATAATTTGTAATATACATGGAAAACCATAAAATCTTCTTCTATTCTGGTCAGGACAAAAACATAATGTCATTCATGAATTTGTTTTTTGATTGATCGATGATTTGTAACTACACACACACAAACTGATATAACCATAACAACGATAACGATAATCAAAACAACCAGAAAAATCCAAAAAAAGAACCAGAAAAACAAAACAACTTTACATTAGTCGATATCGTCTTTAATATTGGTCAAATTTTTTTGATTTATCTTTGCCTAGCCTGTTATACATGATGATGACATTTTTTTTTCTGGCTTGTAAGCCAAAATGAGATGAAACACACACACACAGCCAGTCATTACTTACGTACAAGATCGATGAACGATGGATCCGTTTTTCCACCACCAGCATTTTCATCTTTTTCTCATTTTACATGAGATAGATACGAGGAGAGAGAGAGAAAATGAAAACGACCACTTGATTGATCGATCACTTTGTACATGGCCAAAATATTATAATAATTTTAACATTGTCGTAGCCTAAACGGAAATGATGATGTATTTGGATATACCGTATGGATTGAGTAGGGATCTTTTTTTCGTGTTTTTCTTTCTTCAGTTCAAAAATGAATTACCCGCAAAATTCATAACCCGTGAATAGTGAATATCCGCAAAATGATAGAAAATAGAAAATTTGAAACAAAATTCGATTGATGAGCCCAAGCAACATTCATTTTTTTAAATGAAAAATCCAAAAAAATCAAAAATGATATCAATATCATCGTTGGTCATGGTCATGGTCGTTACCATCGTTATCATATCAAACGAAAAAAAGGTCACCAAATACACACATGCACGTGAATGATTCAAGTTCATGACCTTTTTTTGTTGTTGTTCAATTTCATTTCCATCATCATCATCAATAACTGCATCAAATTTTTTGCTGGTTGAAAACAACAACAACAAGATACCGGATGAAAATGATATCGACTGATTCATTCATTCATTCTTTGTCGTCATCGTCATTCGATTGATTAATGATTTTTTTCTTTCTTTTTCAAAAAAAAAACTGAAAAACTTTTTCAAAATTTAATTTGTTAGTTTTCTTTTTTTTGAAAATTCCAAAATGTCAATGTCACTGGATCACATGTGCCAAATCGATAGTGATGGTGGTGGTGGTGACAATACCACCATCCATCCATCCATCCATCCATCCATCCACCCAAAATGATGTAACATAGAATTTGTTATTTTAAAAAAATACAGGGGACAGAAAAAACACACTCGGTTATCATGTTCCATTTCAATTTCAGAAAAATTTTAATTTTAAATTTAATTTATTTTTTCATTCGCTGGTGACACGAGGACAAATGGTAACAATGGCAGTAAAAAACCAGGACTGACAGGTTCGACACACACACACACTTGAGGCCAAGTTCGGTCATCATTGAATAACCGGGCCAATCGACCGACCAACCGTACGATATCGATCGATCCATATCTACACCAAACCAAACTTTTATTAGTCTCTTATTATTGATTGTCATCATCATTGGATTCTTGCTTTTTTGTAAATATTTTACTGGTGGCTTTCTTTCATTAATTCTTAGTTCAGTGTTAATACTCTCTGTGTGTGTGTGTTTGTTCATCCTATTGATGATCATCAGGATGATGCTAAGCCAAAATGTTGAATAGAATACGAAATTTTATTTTATTTTTTAACACTCAGTTAGTGAATGAAGAATTTAATTTTTAAAATTGAAAATAAACTTTTGTAAAAAAAAATGAAAATCCCAATGATTCATTATTTTGGTCAATTTGATTCAAAAATCCAGTGGAAAAATAAAATGAAAATTACTAGATTTTCGGATAGATCCAATTATTCCATGGATACAAACAGAAAGAAACCGAACCAAAACCAAAAACCAATTTGCACGTTTTTAATTTTTTGAAATCTCCTTTTGGCCAAACTGATCATGTGCTTTTTAAACGTGTCATCATCATCTTTTCGTGTTTGGAAACAATTGACAATTGATGAATGAAAAAAAAAATCTTTTTTTTTCACTGAATTTCATTTCATTTGATTGATTGATGGATTGATTTTAAAGCCGATTCGTTTTTTTACAGTTCGTTTTCTCTGTTTCTGTGATTCTGATTGTGTGTGTGGTATTTGATTGGATTTGCTTTTGTTTTGTTCGCGTTGCATCACTGTCAAACTGTTTTTTAGCATTTCTCGATTTTAAAATTAAATTAATTTCGTGATTTTTTTGAGGCTGACCAGAATTTCAACAAAAAAATCCCAGAAAAAAATGGACATCAAATGGTTAAATGGATTTCCGACAAACCAAAAACAGAAAACTTGTCCGGAAATGGACAAACACTGTCAGTGGTCATTGGTTTATTGGTTTGTTGGTGGTCAGTAATCGAAAAGTGAAAAATGACCCTTTTTTTCCAAAAATAATGATGATTTTCTATTGACTTATTGATGGCTGATATACAGTGTTAGTTTAGTTTATTTATTTTCTGGCTTTTATAAGCCATTAATAATACTAACACCCTACTACTCTTTTTCACTTATAGCAGTTGTCATCATCATCATCATTATTAATGTTATGCATTAAAACACTCACAATATCCACTCTGTTTGTATAGATATGAATGGAATGAATGGAAAACCGAAACCAATTATAACCCTTTTCATGTGCCATTGGGTTAATGGTTTCTTTTTTCTTTGGTTCAATTCAATATGATTTGAATTGAGTGAACATATCTTTTGTGTGTAATAATCACCATAAGAAAGAAAACCAAATCTAACACTTTTTTTCGGGAATAGTTTCCGTTATTTTATTTCGGAAATATTTCCCGAAATTTTTTCGTTTCAATCAGAATTCAATAAGTAACCGCACAGCAGCTTTTTTTCGGTTTTTGAATAACCGAAAATCCACATTGAACACCATTGATTACATCGATCGATCGATGAGTCAGTCTTGTCTTTTTCAAAAAAAAAACCCGAAAGAGTTGTATTTGACAAGTGACAAGCTTACTTAGATTGTGACATTGATGGCAGACACACAAACAAAATGGAACACAATTTGATTAGCAATACACTTAGCTTACTGTCAAAGAATTTTTGTCCCAATAAAAGAAAAAACGTAACACGAAATGAAAAATTCGGTACGCATATCACCATCATAACATTTTCTTGTTTCTTTTTGAATGATGTTCAATATAGATAATCAAATTATTTATTTTTTTTGGCTGCTATAGACCAATCATTTTCCAAAACAAAAAAAAATTCATGGCTGTCATTTTATTGAAGATTTTTCTCCTATTTATGATGATAACCCTTGTTGTTTGGAATTCTTTATGTTTGGTGGTTGAAAATCGATATCCAGCCAAAATATAGATTAAAATAATGGCTGTTGTTGTTGTTGAAATTAATGGTTTTTTCTCTCTTTCTTCCCCATCCTTACCATAAAAAGGACACTGGAGAAAAACTAAACAGTTACTGGCTACCGACTTCTTCTTCTTCGTCATTGTTGTTATGTAAATATTTACTTTAAAAAAAATACTTTTTCAATGAATGAAAATTTGATGCATTCATTTTACTTTATGACAACAATAACATCAACAACAATGATTTGAAAATCATTTAACCAAAAAAGAAAATCAAATTACCCTCTCCTTTTTATAACCATTACCATCATCATTTTGGAAAATAAAATCGACAAATGTCGCAGTGGACGACCACAGATGTTCGTATACTTGGTTTTAGTTTACAATCTATAGGGATGAATGAAAGGATAATTTACTTAACAACCCATCGGTGATGTCAACAACTCTTTTTCTGGGCTTTTTTCAATTTTTTTTGAAATTTCAAATCTGTGAACACCAGGCTGCCATCTATTGATGAGAAAAAAAATCTGTTTACATTTTTCTGGAAAATTTCTTTTTCGAATTTTGAGTTTTTTCCGTTGGGAAATTTCCGACTGTCCTTGCGTGTATTCGAACAAACACAAACACACACGTCGTGAGAGGACAAATAAAAGTTTTTTTTTCTGGATTTTGTTTTGTTTTTCTTCAATTTTAGTTTGTGATTAAGAAAAAGAAAAGTAAGAAAATGGTACATCTTACGAAAACTCTTCGATGTAAGTTTTTTCAAAAATTGATAATCAATCAAATTACCTGTAATTATTCAATTTACAATTTTTCAGTCATTAATAATCCTGGTTTTCGAAAATTTTATTATGGTCTTCAAGGATATAATAAATATGGTTTGTAAACAAACAAATCAAACAATTTATTTTCAATTATCATTTTTCTTTTATCAGGATTGTATTATGATGATTTCTATGATTACACTGATCCAGCTCATTTAGAAGCTGTTCGTCGTTTACCACCTGATCTTTATGATCAACATACTTATCGTGTAATTCGTGCATCACAATTAGAAATAACAAAACAATTTTTACCGAAAGAACAATGGCCATCATATGAAGAGGTAATAATGAATGAATGAATATTCAATGGATAAGTAATATTAACTTTTTTTAATTTATAGGACATGGATAAAGGTCGATTTCTTACACCATATCTTGATGAAGTAATGAAAGAAAAGAAAGAAAAAGAAGAATGGGTCAACTTTTTATCAAAAGATTAAACAATTATGAAATGTATAGTTAAAACAAAGCAAAAAAGCATCCCCCACACATGAATATGAATTGAATAGATTTATTTAATCAATAAAAAAAAAGATTTCTTTGACAAAGAAAAAAAATCATTCTTGTTTATCTTTATCAACAACAACAACAATTGTTTTTTGACGATTTTTAAACATTTTGATTAAATGAAAAATATTATGTAATAATGGTATGGATATTGGTAAAAATAAAGGTAAATATATAGCATATTTTTGATCATCCGGAAAATAAAGTAATGATAATAATGATGGATGATAAAATGCTTGTTCACTATATGAATAAGCTGACCAACTTGTTTCATATGCTTCACTTATATCATCATTATTTGTATTCAATAAATCAACAGCATTCATTGACATTTTCATTGAATCATGAATACGATTAGCAATTTTTTCTTCAATAACCATATTGCTTACTTTATTCAATAATTTTTCAATCGATTCTAATGATTTTAATGTTTCATAAATATGTTTCTGTATTAATGCATGTATAATTGATTCAATTTCTAATTGAGTGAAAAATTCTTCAGGTAAATCACATTGATCAGGTAAATATAAAAATGAACGTATTAATCGACGAAAACCATTTGAAAGATCCATTTCATTATTAACAATAAGTATTGATCCACGAAATGGTGTTGTAATGAGGTTGGATTTATTTTGATTTTGTTCATTCAAAAATTTTATCGATGGTAATTCAGATGATCGTATATAAAGTACAACATGATAACTTTTATCATTATCATGTTCAACACGACTTGTTTCAATACGATTCAATATTGAATCAATTGATGATAATGGTAATAATCGTTCTTCATTTGATGACTGATTTGAATTTGTAGTTGATTTAAATAATTTTGATTGAATAAAATTATCACGTGGAAATACATAATGTAATACTTGTGTAATAAAATTTATACGAAAATATTGACTAAAATTAAAACGATGTGTATAAAATTGTTCCAATAATTTATCAATTTGTTTAATCCATTTTCGATGATGATTTTTTCTTTCATTTAAATCGAAATTCGTATCAATATAATCATCTTCATAGATAATATCGAATAAAAAATCAAAATCTCTTGCCATTAATAAGGCAATATTTTGTTCTTGTTTACCAGCTTGATGTGAATAAAAACGTTGAACAAGCATTTGAATTTGTTGAACATAACGATTAATTTGTTCACCTAAACATTCGATTCGATCCGATTGGTCACAAATATTATTATCCATATGATTTAAATCAATAAAATATGATCGATATCGACCAACATGTATGAAACGATCTGTACGGATATTTTTTGGCAGAATATAAAACATAATCGAATTGATTGATTGAATATTTTTAGCCGATAATAATCGATCTAATTTATTCAATTCAAATGAATTTGGATTTTTCACCGATTCAAATGCCAATAATTCATCATTCAATGCTGAACGTACTGACCATTCTTGTCGAAATGAAAGACTATTATCAAAGCTAATTCTTGTACGATAATTTGCATCAAGATAATTTCGAAGATCAATTTTATCGAATGAATTATCCGTTGGTTCAAGACAAACTATTGATATTTTATAACAATGTGTCAATGTTTGTGATCGTACCATTAACCATGATATATCTGGTAATGGCCATCGTTCAGGTGTTGTTGTACGATACCATATTGGTAATCCAATAAAAAACAATACGGATAAATAAAATATCGATGCAATCAAACTGGAACGATTAGGTTGTTTTTCCGATTTTTCAAAACAATTTTTCAATGTTTTTTCAATTTCTTGTTCCAAAATATTAATATTTTGGTCATTATCGGCCATGTTGTTCAGAAATTACAAAAAAAAACAAACTTTATCAACAAAACAAATGAAAAAAGATGTGTGAATGAAAAAGCTTCGAAAAACTTTCCAGGAAAAATATTAGCCGGTAAGAAAGAAAAAAGTTTCCAAAAGTTTTTTCAAAATTGATTTTATTTTTTGTTGAAATTTTTTATAAATATTTACAATCTTGATTTAAATATTTTTTTATACCATAAATAGGAAAAAATACCGGTTAAACTATACCAAGTAATTATATAGGATAAATGTTCATTACGAAGATTGATACGAGTTTGTCCACCAATCGGACTAATATCCAGTTGATCATTATCAAACAATAATTTCAATGAATAATTTTCAAATGCATCCAAATAAATTGGTTTTGTTTGTAATTGGTCGGAAATTTTTTCAATATCACGCCTTGTCCAATATCCTTGTGTAAATTCTTGTTTCGGTGTGAATGGTTCTCGCTAAAAAAAATTGGATGAAAAAATTTGAAAAACAAACTTAAATTTGTCGCCAAACCTTTTCAGTTTTTCTTATGACACCGATTAGTTCGAATTCTTCATCGGGAATTAGATTAACTTTATGATTTTTAAGAATTAAATTAATTTTATCCATTTTTTCACGAGGTATCCAACCAAAATTGACTAATATTTTCATTGAATTCATATCGAATCGTTTGTCTGTGATTACAAACGGTATAACTAGCTGTGCTCCTAAACCTTGACCACCACCTTTCGATATTAATGATCCTTGATTTGTGGATTCATCACGTTGAATCAGTGATCGTGGAAAAATAAATTGTGGTGCCGATGATCGATCAATGTGACCACGAACTTTTACCTTAACATATTCCATATCATTGATCAGATCTAATTGATCGGGAAAATCAATCGGATCATTATTGATTATTGATTCTAATTTTGCAATCAAATCAAGTTTCCATCGTAATCGATAGATTTGCCATGTACCCAAACAGAATGTTGCAACTGGAAGTAACTGATATTTCAAGAATGATCAATAATTATGACAATGGATATTCGGAAAACAAACTTACGGCAAACAAATAACCAACTGATGATCTTGGCTTCTGATATCTTGACGATTGATTTGATGCCGATTTTCCTGCAATATTAATCGAACGTATTTGAAAAATACATAGTTTTTCTGATTGCCGATTAGTCGATGATAATTTTAATTGAAATTTCAATGTATTAATTGAAGAATGAAGACGAATTCGATTCAATATGGTAAACATTTTTTCGAATCATGACAACAAAAAACATGTGTTTGAACGCTTAAAAATTATTCCCTTAAATTTGGCTTCAAAGAGAAAGATGAACAACATCGACATGCGCACGAGTTCATGTTGTTTTTTCCCAATGAGAGAAAAATATTGCGTGCACACACCACCACTTTTTTTTAGCAGCTGCTCCATTTTTGGTGATGGATGGATAGATGGCGACACATTTTTTGTAATTTTTTTATTTTAAACTAAAAAATTTTTATTTTATTTTGACAATTTAAAAAAAAAATGATTATTATTATACAACTTGCATTGCATAAAATAATCCGGATAAATTTTTAATATAATTTTCAACAATAATTGGATAACCCAAAACAGAAAGCCATTTCATTTTGTCACATAATAATGATATATAACGATCAAAATTATCATCACTGTAAAGTTGATCACGATCGGCATAGATTTTTGGATTACCCATCGACCAGCATATAAAGCCACCTAATAAAACAGAAACGAAAAAATGAAAAAGAAAATGAAAACAATAAGAAAATGAGAGAACCAAAAACATAAAAAGTCATACGGTTGAATGGAAAATGTTTACAAAGAAATAAAAGAAGAAAAAAAATGATTTCATCTGGTTTCAATTAACATTCTTTGGTCGTTTTCATTTTGTTTGTTTGTTTGTCTATGTCCATGTTAGACAATCAATTCATTCAAGCATTTATTAATTAGTTAGTTAGTTAGTTAGTTAGTTAGTTGGTTATTTGGTTGTGAATAACCAATTTTGATTATAAGGAGAAACAAAAACTGAAAGAAAAAAAAACAAATACCTGATTTAGTGATGCGTATAATTTGTTCCAATGAACGATAATCAATATGACCAGGACAAAATATACCAGCCATTATAATAACATCATATTGTTGATCATTGATTGGTAATTTTTGATCCGGTGTTACAATCGATTTGATTATATTTTGATAACAATTTTTTTCTTTTAATATTTTTAACATTTCATCATTATTATCTAATGCATCTAAATTATGATAACCATTTTTATTTAAAATTTCACCAATAATACCAGTACCAGCACCAATATCTAATATTTTATCATTTTTATTAAAATTCATTTGTAGAAAATATTTGGCTGCAATATGGCCACCATTATAATCCATTTCTTTAATATCCTGCATATTTTTTTTTTTTGGTTTCGAGATCAAATTTTTCAAAATGTGAAAACAAACGGAAATTGGAGAGAAAAAAAAACGAGAAAAAGAGAAAACCGCATTTAATATCATAGAGGTATATTATTGTTGATTTGAATTGAATATTTTGAACAGATCAATAAAGAAAAGCTATTCATCAAAACATCATTGAAATACATTGTTGAAATACATCTTTTTCATTCATTCATCATGGAAATAACAAAACTAATAACAAAATAACATTTTTTTTTGGATAACGATAATAATTATGACTACTACGTCGTAATTTGTTGCATATTTTCTTTTCTTTCTTTTTGTTGTTGTTGTGGCTGTTGTTTCTTATTAACAAAATTAACAATGATAATCATCAGCCAAAAGAAAATGAACAGAAAATATCAAATCAATCGATTGATTGATTGATTGATTCGATTTGATGTGTTGAGAATTTTGACAAACACAAACACTTGATGATAATTGTAGACAAAAAACGCCCCATACAATTATAATCAATTTAAGAATAAACCACTTGTCGATTGAGTGTTGAGAAAAAAATAATGTAAAATAAAATAAAAATTTTTTAAACGACAAACCACACAATCATTATAAATCATCAACAACCGACAAAAACATATATATTGGTTCAATGCAATCAACATTGCATATGCAATGTTTGACTTTTTTTTGTTTGTTTTGTTTGTTTTGTTTGTTTTGATTTTCTTGTGTTCCTCATCAAATTGTTATGGATATATCACACAGGATATTGATGATGTGAATCGATTGTGTGTGTATTTTATTTGCAACAATTTTTTTTGAAAACTTTTTCTCTTTTTCTACTAACAAAACTACGTCCTTCGATTTTTCTGTTTCAAAAAACTGCCGTTTTTTTTATTAAAAAAAAATAAATAACAGTAGTAGCAGCAGCCACATAATAATCATCAATTATCATCGAGAAAAAGAGAGAGAGAGAGAGAGAGAGAAAAAAAAATCTGACGAAACACAGTGATGCCAAAAAAGAAAGAAAAATTGATTTTCAAGCCAAAATTGAGAAAATGAAACAAGTCATAAAGACAATATGACCTTTGTTTGTGTAAAATTCCATTATTTCATAATTTCTTTTTTTTTCATTTTCATTATGATGATGATAATGGTGATGGATATCATCATCGTTATTGATGTTAACAAAACGAAGAAAGAAATATAAAGCTTCAATCTAATAATCAGATGGATCAATGTTATCATTAACAAACAAAGAAACAGAGTGATGATCATGATGATCCAATGATGATTAAATGGATTTTTTTTTCTTGGTACACAATGGTTAGCCATTTCTCACACACTCGCACTCAATTTCTTTCTTTCTTTCTTCGATTATCATCAATACAATCTTGATGTGAAACATTGTTTTTTCAAAGGGGAAAAAATGAGAAAAAACCATCACTGAATTTTCACTTCTTTTGCTGAAAAAAAACAACGTCAAAAAATGGCCGAATTGATTGAGAGTGATGGTCTTTGATATCTCAACACACACGCAATGATATTCACGCGGCTTATTTTTGATTCGAAAAAAAAAAATAAAAATTATCCTTACCTTTTCATAATTAGATGCCCAAATTGAATAAAAATCATCAGTTTCTTGATGATTTTTCGGTTTCACCAATTGATCCAATAATTGATCGACAGATTTTTCGCAATCTAAATTTTTTGTTAATGAAATTGTTTGGTTAACGTTATTTTCATTCATTTTCGTTGTTTGCTGATGAATATCGTGATGATGATTTCCAGAAGATGATTTTTTTTGAAAAATCTCCTTCACCATTTTATATGGTTCGAGAAAATTTGATTTGGTTTGTTCTTATCAACCGAAGAAGAGAAATGAAACAAACATCACCAAATGTATCTATAATTTATCAATTGTTTTTCTATCATCATTTTGGAAGAAAAGTGGAAAAGAAAATGGAAAATAAAATCATATCTATAAATGCTTTTATCAAATAAAATCAAAATCCATTTAAGAAAGAAAAAAAAAAGTTTCAAAAAATTTCATTTTTTCGCTTTTGGCATTCAGCCAAAAGAAAATTATTCAATCATTGTGTGTGTGTGTGCTCGTAGATAATGTCAATATGATTATAATGACAAAAAAAACTGAATTTGGACATTTCCGTTTACAGAATTTCTCTTTAAGTAAGTAAGTGTGTAATAAATCTATCTATAGGGGCTACCAGCTAAAAAAATATCAATAAACAACCAACCAGCAAAACACAAATCAAATATTTGATTTTTCATGTTTTCTTTTCTTTTTTTTTTTGGCGTCCAAAGAATAAGAAGAATCAAATATTTTCTCTCTGAATATGTTCTTATTGATATTACTCAATGATTTTTTTGAATGCGCTTGCTATCAGGATAATGAAAAGTTCAGAAACTTTATGGGAAAGCTCTATTTACAATCACTGTCTTCGAAGTAACGGGAATAGAAACAGGAACTGCAAACATTGTGTTAACGTAACGACGTTAACCAATCGTAATAAACAGCAATCATTATTATTATGATTATAATAATTTAGTAATTTTGTCCAAAAAAAACGATAATTGTTCGTTTGTTTGTTGTAAACATTACTTTTGAAACAACAATAATAATAATAATGTGATTTAAGCAATCAATGATGATGCTCCATAATAATATTATTAATCCATAAGGTTTTTTTGCCATAAGAATTTTTGCCTTTTTGCAGATTCAGCAGAATATTCTTTTGCTGCAAAAGTAAGAAAGAAAATATTGAAATTAATGTTCACATTCTATTCGTTTATTACGATTTTGTTTTGTTTGACTTAATCATCGTTATTCCGCATGAACATTATTCGGGTTTCCAGAATATTCTACATTTAAAAAAAACGTAATAACTACGTAAAAGTTGACATTTTAAAATATGTTATTGAACAAAAAAAAACAGATGGACATTATCATTGTGCTTGTGTTAAAGTTTCACAATCAAAAAACAATTGGATGATTTGAAAAAAATGAAATTTCAACAAACAATAACCCTAAGGGTTAAGTTTCTTGTAGAAAAGAACGAAATGATGTTTAACAGGTTTCGCAAGAAACCGAAAAAAAAGTATTTCATTTCGTTTTTTACAGTGAAAGAATTAACCCCCATGCACGCAGCCACACCGACAGGTAAGTACATCCTATCGATAAAACGAAATTAGAAAGAAAAACATTTTGAAAAAAATAAGAATTATTCAAATGAATGTTTTTCACCCAAACAAACAACATTTTATATAGAAATTATTCGACATTCATATTGTCAATTTAACCGAATGCTTCTGCTTCTTTTCATTCTACATTCTGTATTGATACAGACAGATGTTTGTTTGAATTCCAATATACAATGTTCGTTTTGGATTGCCTATACACATACAAATACAATCCAACCAACCAAACAACAACAAGAATCAGTTGGATTCGGCTGTTATTATCATTTTTTTTTGTTCGAACAAATTCATTGAAATAAATTCTACTTTCAACTATCATCATCATTAGCCGCGAAACAAACAGAAAAAAAATTGCCATACACATCCAATGATGGTGATGAAAAGAATGAACAGATTTTCATATCACATCATTTTGAAATATTTTTCATCAGTGTTTTGCTGTTTGTTTGTTTGTTCACTTTATATCATTGATATTTGATTGATTTTGATGATCAATTTTTGATTATTTGATTTTTTCCATGTGACAATTTTTGTTCATTCAATGATGATCATCATCAATAATCACAATGACATTATAAATATGTTATTGATTTCGAAGAATTTTTCCGTTTCGGTTTCATTGTTTTTTGAGTGCAAAATATACAAAACAAAATTTTGATTTAAAATGCAAAATTTTTGAAAAATTTTTGTGTGTTTTTTTTTCTGTTAGATTTCCGTTTGTTTCATCATCATCATCAAATGTGTTTATGTGAATGGAAAATTTCATAATCGAAGCAACAAATTTATGAAAAAATTGTCAATTTTTTTCTCTGTATTTTTTCATTTTTACAAAATTAAATTTCGTTTGTTGTTGTTGTTAAACGTCATGATTTTGTTTTATCCAATTGGAACATTTCAACAAACAAAACAGAAAAAGTTTCACTCAAATTGTTTTTTGTTTTCGAAACATTTTTACAAATTTTCTTCTTCTTTTATGAAATAAAAGGGGTAAGTTGTTTTTTTTTCTCACCAAATTTACTTCACTGCTCAAAAATCGATTTTGCCCGAATCCAATGATATGATTGATTGATTTTGTCATTTTTGTGCTAGTTCCTCTCTCTTTTTTTGACCGATTTAATTTATCTATTTGTCATATTGTCATCAACAAAGAAAAAAAAAACGATAAAATAACTATGTGTAAAAGAATATTCTTCATTTTTTTTGTCTGAAGTAGAATGAATATATTCAACAACATTTGAATTCTGATCACATTTTTTCATAATCTGATAATGCTTTTCACTTCACTCTCTCTCTCTCTCTCTCTCTCTTGTCGAAATTGGTTACATAATATTATCAGAGAGAAAATGGTGATGACGTTCGTTTATTGCAAAATATGGACCAGCAAACTCTTTTTTTTTTTGTCAAATAATTTTGAGAAATTTTTTCTGGGAAATGTTTCCGTAATTTCCAGAATTTTTCTGTTTCTGTTTCTATAGCAAGTCAATGTTATCATTTTATTCTTCTTGGGTGTGCTTGAAGGTGTATCAATTTTATCAATTTTTTTTTCAAAAATGACAACAATATTGGTTTTTTTTCAAAATTTACAAATAATGATAGTGTGATTGGTAATAACAACAAGCCGAAACCGAAACCAAAAGAAAGCAAATGACAATTGAAATTTAATTGAAATCATTTCGGTTCGGGATTGTTTTTTTTTCTCATTGAAAAACTTCAAAAAAAAGCAATTTAATTTCAAGTATCATCATTATCTGGGTGTGACAAATCACAATACACCCAAAAAACCCGAACCGATAACATTGGTTTTTTTGTTGTTGATTCGGTAACGAAAAATGAAAAATCAATCGATTTTT